GTCACAGTGTGGACAACTTGCCAGAATTTTATTTTATTTTATTTTTAATTTTTTAGTTGTCAGTGGACCTTTATTTAATTTATTTATTTATATGTGGTGCTGAGAATCGAACCCAGTGCCTCATACACGCTAAKCGAGTGCTCTACCACTGAGCCAAGACTCCAGCCCTGCCAGAATTTTAAAAAATTTATTGCAGAAAGCCCAAAGTCTAGTTTTTAAGAAAAAACTCAAATTTTTCAAATATTGTGTAGAACATATAAAATGTCTCTAAGAATGAGCAGGATCCAATCTGTGACCAGCCAGCATGGTGGCCAGAGGGACATCTAGTTCCCTGCATTAGATTTTGATGAGTGTTGTTCTCTGGGGGTAATGTCAGYACCCAGCAGGGGCCTTGCAATGGCAGATGTGTGAGCTGAATGAATGAGTAAGTGAAGGATCAGATCATACACAGCCCCGGGACAGGCTGCGTAGAAGGTGACTCAGGAATCAGCCTGTGTGCTCCTTTTCAAACTCCATTCACACTGCAGCCCTCCCTGGCTCAGAACCCTCCTCCCCTGGCTCCCATCCTACTCAGAGTACAGACCAAAGTCCTCCCGCTGGCACAAGGCCCTAAGCAATCTGGCCACCTCTTTCTCTGCCCTCTCCCTCTCCCTCATTCCCCTCCAGCCACATTGGCTGCCTTCTGTCCCTCTGATGTGCCAGGAAAATTCCTGTCTCCTTGTACTTGCTATTTTCCCACCTGGACAGTCTTCCTTCAGATCTCCTGAGTCCCCCCACCCCGCCCCAGAGTGCCCCATCTAAATCAGCACCCCTGCCCTTCTCCAGCTCTATTTTAATCTTCTTATCATAGCACATATTGCTATTAAACATGATATGTTTACTCCTTTCTCTCTTCTCCCTCTTTCTCCTCCTCTCTTCTCTCTTTTTTCCTTTCTCTTCCTTTCTTATTGCCCTCGCTTGGATAGAAGCACAATTTCTGTTCTGCTTGCCACTCTCTTATCCCCACAGCTAGGCATAGCAGCCAGCATGCAGTGGCTACTCAGTAGATCTCTGCTGGATGAATGTACAAATTGAACAAACAGATATATAGTTTTCTAAGGAGTTCACCTTAGCTTTCTCTCTGACTTGGACCACATTTCCAGATTCCTTCACATTTTGTGACCAAACCCTCCCTTGCTCTATAAGCAGGATTCTTTGGGGGGCCCAGCTTAGACACTCTGACTGCCCACTGGACAACAGGCTCAAGCCACATACAGTTGCATTTCCAAAGGAGATTTTCCAGTTTTTCCCCACAACTCACGCTCTCAGAAAACTTTCCTATTTTTCTGCCAGACTGAAATGAACGTGTCTCTCCAATCCACCAATAGTGGGTGATGCATCCATAGATGCCATCTCTCCTGCCCTATCCTGGTGATGCCAACTCTCTGAACCAAGTGCCTAGTTGCTGAGCCTCATAGCTGCTAGGGATTCCCAGTCAGCATCTTCTAAAACCTCTCTCCTACATCCAACACTGGCTGCACTCCACCTCTCTACCCAGAAGCCAGAGGGAGCTTTTAAAATTATAAATCAAACTTGCCACTTCTTTGCTTTTAGACACACTGAGCATATACATGTGTGTGCACAGATACACACACACACAGCTGTTTGTGTGTGTGCCTGTCATACTTAGAATATACCCAAAGTCCTTCAAGGCCCTTCCAGATCTTGCCCATGCCCTCTCACCTCAACTCTGATCACTCTCCAAATGCAGCTCTATGATCTTTCTGTTCCAAATGCAGYTCTATGATCTTTCTGTTTCTTTCTGCCTCAGGGCCTTTGCACTTGCTAGTCTCTGCCTGGAACTCTCTCCAGCTCTCCTATGCTTTGGGTGTCAGCCTAAATGTCACCTAATCAGAAAGACCCACCCTGACTACTTGGTTTCAAGCAAGAGGTCCCCTGGCCCTTATCTATTATAATTTTACCTTTTATTTCTTTTATAGCATTCACTCTGATCTGAACTCATCTGATTTATCTGTTCACTTGTTTAGTCTCTCCTGAGAACAGGGGCCATACCTTGATTGTTCTTCATCAACATCCAATTACCCAGTATASAGCTCATTACAGGATAGTGGCAAGCAATAAATAAATGATAGATGCCTTCAGTTTCTCCAACAGGACACTCCCAGATCCCACCTCACACTCTCCTTTACTCCTGAAGTTATCTCTCCATGGACCCTCTTTTCCTGATCCTTTAGTTAACCCAAGGGACCACATTTTAAAAATATCCTGCAGCATCCTGTTCTTGGCAAACATAATTATCATTCTTTGTAATCATATATTTATATTTTTAATACTTATTTGTGTGGTTGTCATTGATTTCTCTCAGAGCAAAGACAGYTTGTCTTATTCTGTGCTGTGGCCCCAAGCTACTAGCACAGAGCCAGATCCGTAGTGGTTCTTCCAAGATTTGTTTGTTGAATGACTACATGATAGAATTATGTGTCATGAACCAAATATTAGGATCATTCCAACTCCATACTCCAATGGGTGAATAAAGGAAGGGAGGGAGGTCCAAGACTCTGGACCGCCTCAGAATCCCCCCACCATCACCACCAGCAGAGTTCAGCTATTCTCCCAGACCACCCAAGTCTCCATGCCAGATTCCAGGGTGGGGATAGCAGTTACCGTAGTCCTTGGGGAGGGGTGCAGGTGCCGATGGATGCACAACAGGCTTCTGCCGGCGCTCCTGGGTGGGGCTGGGGGCTTCGGGGACGGGCTCATCCTCTTCCTCCTCTTCTTCCTCCTCTCCTCGGGGTGGAGGGGCCATCGGGGCAGGATCTGTCTTAGTCATGGTCCTCGATGGCCCTCAGTGGTGGGCGGGCACAAGAGTCAGGGGCRGCCTGCAGGCAAATCCTGGAGGCAGAGGTCAGCTAGAGAGGGTGCCCCCAGAGACCCTGGGTCCAAGCCCCCAGAAACTCCCAAGGCCCCGGGTGGTCCCCGTGCCCCCAGCTCTGGATCTTGGAGAACCATAGGGCCTCGTTACCCATCAGAGAGCCCCGGGATATGCGCCCAGCTCCTGCCTCCTGCACCAGGCCCAGCCCCCCATTCTTCTCCCGCGTCAGGCCCCTCAGTCTCGGCCGCCCCCTCTCGGGGTTTGTTTATCTCGGGATGCAGGATGCTTCGCCCCTCCCCTTCTCACGGGCCTCCGCGCTTCCCATCTCACCTCGGGCGGACGGGGTTGAAGACCGAGGCTGAGACTGAGGAGACCGCGGAGTAAYGGGGTGTCGGTGTCGGGGGACGTGGTAGGGGAAGAGAGGGAGACAGAGAGAAGGGGACGAGGCCCAGCAGCCGATCGGGGGTGGGGGTGGAGAGGGAGGGGCGCTGGCGGCGCATGCGCGGTGGCAAGGCGCGGGGGAGGAGATGCTGGGAGGCAGCTCGCCTAGATGAAGGCTGCTGGAGGCAGCGACGCCAAGGGGCTAGACCCCGAGCACCCGAAGTGGAAGAAGGGGCTGCCACCTGGAAGGGTGTGAGGCACCGAGGCAGGAGAGAGATGAAGCAGAGACCTGGGGGCTGAGGGGGAGAGGGGTGGCAAGGCGACACGGGTCTTTTTATCCATCCGCGCGGTGACAGAGCCCTGTCCCTGGTCTGGGAACCCGGCCAGTTGGGACAGTGGTCTCTGTGCCTTGCTGATGTTGTTCCCTCTCTCAGAGCTCAACGCCATGCTTACCCTCTATGAACGTCTCAGAGGGGTCTTTTACATCTCCATCACCTTTGTCCTTATAGACAGTGCTCATCAGCACTTCCTCAGGCCGAGAGTTCGAGTTGCTTGCCCATCAGTACACAGCAAGTGGGTGTGGAGCTAAAATTTGAAAGCAGGCAGTTCGTTGAGTCTGGTTCTTAATCACCAAGCTACATGACTGTGCAGTGAAGGCCATGTGATGATACCAGTGTCTAGAAGACAGTTCTGTCAATGGATCTCTTCTGAGAATCTGTATGTCTTGGAGCCAGCCAAGGGTCCGGCTCAACCTCACTCCTGGTTTGACTATTACCTGCTCTGCCCCAAATCACCCCAGCCTGTGTGACTGCCTTGTGCCCCTCATACTGGGCAGGCCCAGTATCTCTATCTCCAAAATACTTCCAGAATTTTATCACCCAATTCCAGGCCCCTATCCTGGTCCATCCTTCATCCTCTCCCACCTCAACAATGGCAGCAGCATCTTCTCTGTTCTCAGTGCTCTCCCCACCCCACCTGACCTTTCTTCCTACCCTGCAGTCACAGGAACCTAACATGTATCACATCAGGGTACTCCTTGACTCAGAAACATCTGGCTGCACCTCATTCCAGGTAAAAGCCAATGCTCCCAGCCACAGCCCATAAGGCCCTAGGTACACTTGCCCACCATGTTTCCAATCTCTCCTCCTCTCACTCTGCCCACTCCACTCCGATCACACTGGTCTCCTTGCTTTTCTGCACACCAGGACCTTTGCATTGGCTGTTCTTCCTGGAAGGCTTCCCCCAGGCCCTTGGATGGTTCCTTCTCTCCTCTCATTTGGGATATTAATTGTTTGCCTTTTTTCAGTGACACCTCTGCTCTATCTAAAATTGCACCCTGTCTCAGCCAGCCCCTTCCCCACTTTAGTTTTCTTCAGAGCAACAGTGCCCTCCTCCCTCCAATGCCTAGACATTAGGTCCTCTGCAGATCTGTTCTTGCCCTGGAACACCTGCCCACATGCCCTACAGGTTGACTCCTCCCACCCAGGTTTGTGTTCAAATGCGGACTTCTTAGAGAGACCTCTCCCCCCAACTTCCTCTCAATCATATTTTTTTTTTATATTTTTTTGTAGTTCTAGATGGATAGAATGCTTTTATTTATTTTTATGTGGTGCTGAGGATCAAACCCAGTGCCTCACACTTGCTAGGCAAGCGCTCTGCCACTGAGCTATAGCCCCAGCGCCTCAATCATATTTTAATTCAGTGTTCATGGCACATATCAGTCAGAAGTGATCCAGTTTATTGGTACACTAGTTCACCTTCAACTCAAGAAAAATGTGAGCACCATGAGAGCAGGGATGGTTTTTAGCTGTGTCCACTGCCATGTCCCCAATTCAGCAGCAGGCTTGGCACAAGGTGCCAAGGGCTCTTTGGAACCGGTACAGAACTCCCCAAATGACTCCTTTTCTGCTGATGTTRTTTTACTGACTGCAGAGATTTGAGCTGGGGGTGGCAGGGGCCAGGTACCCAGGGGGATAAGGGTTTGGGGCCCAGTCACCTGTAAGATTCAAGGGATCCCTAGACATGGGGAGAAGAATCTAGGTACTTGGGGAAAGCACTGCTCCTCCCCAGGCATGGGTGATAGGGCTGGGCCAAGCACATGTGTGATGGGCTCTCTTCTTCCATCTTGCATCTTCTGTCCCTTGACATTGTCCGTCCTGACCCTTAGGCACTGGGTGACTGGGTGTCCAGCTCAGGCTTGGCATCCAGTGTGGCAGGTGCAGGGTCTTGGGCAAGGACCACAGCTATGTCAGGCCCTCCACAGATGATGGTGAAGGTTTGGGATTCCTCAGATCCAGGCAGCTGAGCCATTCCAGGCAAAGAAGCAGTAGAGATGGGGAACAAAGGGGAGCAAGGGGGAGGAGATTGAGGAACAGACAGAAATGGTAAGGACCAATGGACATCAGAGAAGGAGGGGGTGTCAGAAAACAGAGTGAAATGTGATGGAAGACAGGGAAGCAGATGTGAAGCCAGAGACATTCATGGGAGAGAAAAGAAGTGTGGGGAAATAGGAGAGAGATGTGGAAGGACAGGGACATGGGGAGATGGATGTGAGTGTGGACAAAGACATTGATATGGAGGGCAAAGAAAGATGCAGATGCAGAGAGACATGGGCAGATAGGGACACAGGATGAATGAGTAGGAAACAGGGATTGAATGGGGACAGGGGAGGCAGAGAGAGTGAGTCAGCCCAGGGCAGGCTCCATGGAGAGCTCCAGTCTGAGACTGAATTGTCACCAGCCCCATTGTCCCTCTGGGTTCCAGGCCATAGCCTCAAAGCCCCCAGGGGCAGTCACACTGCAATTCCAGCTGACTGCTATTACCTGAGAATATGAACCCTGCACTGCAAGATCTACTGAGCCTTCAGGGAAGATTAAAAGTGATATTAAAGCACTTTGAGGCCAGACAAATTATATCTGGAGGTCATGTCCAACCCATTAGCTGTCTACCTGAGACACTTCAGCTCCTTTCTGAGCCCCCCTCCTCTTGTCTCCACAGCTCTGCCTGGATGCTTGTCCCATCCAGGTAGGATTCTGAGTGTGTGGGTAATAGGTTGAGGCCCTCAAGCTAAGCCCTAGTTTTTAAGCAGGGGATGGACACGGTCAAGCTCTGATTTTTCACCCTTCCCTCAACCAAAACAAAAAACAATCCAGTAGTAAAATGTATGGATAAAGAGCTTTAGAGAGAGTGGGGGAGACCATAGTAAAAGGGTTGTGAATTTAAGCTAGACAGGGGCTGAGAAGGGAGCTTTCCAACAGGACAGCAGGGCTTCTTCTGGTGCTTTTGAATCCTGGCTGCTTGACTTTGGGCAAGTTACTAGACTGTTCTATGCTGCAGCTTTTTCATCTGGCAAATGGGGAACAACAAGAGAACCAAGATGGTAGTGAGTTTTCAATAAGTTATTAAGTATGTGWCTGGCAGGAAGTGAGAACTTCCTAAATATTATTCATAAATGGAGCAGCCATTACTCAGCTCCAACCAATAGTTGCCAGATTGAATTTATTTTTTTTTTTTTGCTGAGCTGGGGATGGAACCCAGGGCTTCCCGCACGCTAGGCAAGCTCTGTAAACACTGAGCCTCATCCCCAGCCCCAGATTCTTTCCCCCACCCCCTAGAAAAACGAGCAATTTGGAAACCTGAATGAAATATTGGGATTCTTAAACATAAATGTGCAGGCCAGGCAAGATGCCCTGGACGCCAGTCCCAAGCCCCTGCGCCACTTACCACGCGAAACTGGCCCTGGTGCGCCCGAGCCTGCAGGCTCTCCGTGCGCAGCTGCAGCGCCAGCTGTTCCAGAGCCTGGAGCTGAGCCTGGTGCCGCTGGTGGCGCCGCTGCAGCCTCCGCACCCGCCGCTGCAGTGCTCCCAGCACCGCTCCCAGTCCCRCCCGTGGGTGCTGGGTAGAAACTCCAGTCCTCCGCCCTGCAGGAGCGGAGGGAAGGGGCAGGGGGGTCAGGAGCACGGTGGACGCAGCCTTGGCGCTGTCAGATGCAGGCCCCAGCACCACTACGTGCACTGGGCCAGAGGCCGCAACCGTGGACTCCAGGGGGAGTCCTGCCTCCTGTGGCGCGGGAGGAGGAGGAGGAGGAGGAGGAGGAGCCTCTGGCTTCTGGGTACTTCGGGTCCTCCGCGGGCTCTGGAAGACAAGGCATAGGGTGGGGATGGCCCTTCAGGGCCAGACTCCAAGAGGCATTTCGTGGAGAGGTTAGGTCAGTCTCCAAGGGGGACTTCCCTGGGGTAAGATGACTTCAGCCAGGAACTTCCTAAGGAGAGAAGGGCAGAGGGGCAGACCTGGGGAAGGACTTCGATTTGAAAGGGAAGGCCAGGTACCAGACTCTAGGAATTGCGTCCCAAGTAGGGAAGGCTGGGGATCAGACTCCACTCATTGGACATCCCGCACTCACCTTGGCTGGAGGCACCCGGGAGAAGATGGAGGGCACCGCGTCTGGCCGCAGGTAGCGCACGCCCCAGCGCCACTGGAAGCAGGAAGGTGTGAAGTGCTCACTGCACAAGTGCTGGTGGCAGCTGGGCACCCAGTGCTCCCGGCCCATGCATCGCAACCAAGCCTCTAGCCTGGGGCCGTCCTTCAGCGGGAACCTGCAGAGCGGTGGGATAGCAGGGTGAGCGCTACAGGTCCCCACCCACCCCTCTCTGAGGTACCTACCTATACCTGAGATCCCTGGAAGTCTCTGTCTTCCATCCACGCTTTCTCTACCTCACTGGCTTCCCATATGTGGGCTCCACATCCAGCAACTCAACTCCCTCTCTCTCCTTCTCGGAATCTCCCAGTTCTCCTGGCTGGGTAGTGGCAACAGCCTTCTTCCTGGTTTCCCTGCCCACCTCCACTTCCTACCCTCAGGTTACTTCACATGAACTTAAAGGAGTGGTCTATAAAAGCAAACATCTAGAGTAAGAGAGATCCTGCTGTCAAGTGAAAATGCTTCTTCCACAACTATATGGCATGTGAGTGGGGGTTACAGGCTGAGAGATTTAAGAAACACCACCCAAATGCAGGATGTGGACCTTGTTCACAAAAAAAAAAAAAAAAAAAAAAAAAAAAAAAAAAAAAAAAAAAAAAAAAAAAAAAAAAAAAAAATTCAGTAAAAAGACATTTCAAGACACCTGGAGAAAATAAAACAGAAATTGGGTATTTGGTAATTGTAAGAAATTAAATTTGCTAGGTGTGATAATGTGTCCTTCTAAAACAGGATTCTGGCCAGACTTGGTGGTACACACCTGTGACCCCAGTTGCTCTGAGATCACAGCCTCTGAGGAGGCTGAGGCAGGAGAATCACAATACAAGCCCAGTCTCAGCAACTTAGTAAGACCCTGTCTCAAAATTTAAAAATTTTAGCCAGGCTTGGTAGCAAATGCCTATAACCCCAATGGCTTGGGAGGCTGAGACAGGAGGATTGCAAGTTCAAAGCCAGCCTCAGCAAAAATGAGGTGCTAAGCAACTCAGTAAGACCCTGTCTCTAAATAAAATACAAAATAGGGCTAGAGATGTGGCTCAGTGGTCAAGTGCCCCTGAGTTCAGTCCTGGTACTGCCACCCGAAGTTGAGAGCCACAGCCAAAGGGGCCCCAGCAAACTTCCAGACTGCCAGCTGATGATTGGCTCACCGCGGCCCCAGCAACATCTAGCTGATTGGCTCCTCTGCAGTGATGCTCATTGGAGATGCTCATTGAGCTGTTTCCCCGCCCTTTCAGACCACTGGAGCTGCTCATTGGGGGACTTCTTTGGCTCCGCCCATGGGACCCAGCCACTGGCCTCAAGAGCAGGAGGATTGTGGGAGGTGGTGAGGCTTGTGTGGGTGAGAGGCTTGTGGGAAGCCGGTGGTGGCAGTTGGGCTCTAAGGGTTTTTTCCTGAGGAGCTGTTTTGTTTGGCGTTTGTAGTTCTAAAAATATAGTTAGTTTCTTTTGACAAGTGGCTCCTGAATTGTGCCCAGCCAGACTGCGGCAACCCCCCAATATATTTTTTTTAATTTTAAAAGGGGCTGGTGATATAGGTCAGTGGGACATACTCACTTAACATCCCTGCTTTCCACTCCCAGCACTGCAATAAACAAATAAATACAAAATAAAAGTCTTCTGTTAGAAAAACATTCTGAAATTTTTACAAGTAGAAGACCTGATGTCTGGGATTTACTTTAGGGTTTTTGTTGTTGTTGTTGTTATTGTTGCTTCTTTTTTTAGGTCCTAGGGATCAAACCCAGGATGCCCTGTGTGCTAGAAAAGTACTCTACAATTAGCTACATTCCCAGCCCTGGGATTTACTTTAAAATGTGAGGCAAAAAACTTTGAGGTGTGTGGGGCAGGGAAGTGAAAAAAGACCAGCAAAATGTACTCTATTTTGTGTGTGTGTATGTTTGAAAATAACCTTTAAAGATGTATAAGCAACTCAACAATAATAAAAACACAACTTAATTAAAAATGGGCAAAGGACTTRAGCAGACATTTCTCCAAAGAAGATATACAAATGGACAACAAGCATATGAAAAGATGCCCAATATCACTAATGATTAGGGAAATGCAAATCAAAACTATGATGAATGTTACCCCCAACTATTGGAATGGCTACTGCAAAAACAATAAATAAATACAAACAGAAAATGACAGAGGATGCGGAGAAATTAGATCCCTGTACACTGTTGGAAACACAAAATGGAATAGCCATTATGGAAAACAATATGGCAGTTTATCAAAAAATTAAAAATAGAATCACCTTATGATTCAGCAATCCACTTCTGGGTTATACCCAAAACAAGTGAAAGCAGGGTCTTGCACACCATGTCCAAAGCAACTTAATTCACAAAGCCAAAAGGTGAAYACGTCAACTGACAGGTGAATGGATAAACAAATGTGGCACATATTATACAATGGGATATTATTTAGCCTCAAAAAGGAAAGAAATTCTGACATATGGTGCAACATGGATGAACCCTGGGACCATTAGAGGAAATAAAATAAGCTAGTCACAAAGAAGAATACTGATGCTTTCACTTTTATGAGGTCTTTAGAGTGGTCAGTTCACAGAGACAGTAAATCGGTGGTCACCAGGGGCTGAAAGAAGGGGGAAAGAGGGTATTGCATAGTGGGAATAGAGAAATTCTTTTTTTTTTCTAATTTACCAACCAAAAAGTTCTGGAGATTGGTTATACAACAATAGGAATATACTTAACATTGCTGAACTGTACACTTAAAAATGGTTAAGGGGCTGGGGATATGGCTCAAGTGGTAGCACGCTTGCCTAGCATGCGTGAGGCACTGGGTTCGAGTCTCAGTACCACATAAAAATAAAATAAAGATATTGTGTCCACCTAAAACTAAAAAATAAATATTAAAAATGACTAAGATGGTCTATCTTATATAATGTGCATTTTACTRCAATTAAAAATAAAATTTTAGCCGAGCACAGTGGCACACACCTATAATCTCAGTAGCTCAGGAGGTTGACGTAGGAGGATCACAAGTTCAAAGCCATCCTTAGCAGCTTAGCAAGGCCCTAAGCAACCTAGCAAGACCTTGTCTCAAAAATAAAAAAATAAAAAGAGCTGGGGATGGAGCTCAGTGGTTAAGAACCCCTGGGTTCAATCCCTGGTACCAAATAAATAAATAAAAGGTTAAAAACATTTTAGCAAGGGCCAGGGGTATGCTTAGTGGTAGAGCACTTGCTTAGCATGCATGAGGCTCTGGGTTCAAGACCCAGCACCATGAAACAAAAACAAAACATTTTAAATAGCTGCTGCAGTATATTGAGCTCCACAGAGACAGCACCAGGGCATATGAGAGCCAGACATGCACTAGGTAACTCTGTACCTTGCTGAGAAAAAATACTAAACATGGGCAAAGGAAATCCTAAGAGGCCAAGAGCAAAACAGCCTCACATGCACTCTTTGTGTGAACTTGAACTTGATAGGAGGAACGGAAGAAGCCCCCAGAGTGTTATTCTAAGAGTGCTCAGGGAAGTAGAAGACAATGTCTGCTAAAGAGAAAATGAAATCTGAAGACATGGCAAAGGCTACAAGGACCATTATGAAAGGCAAATGAAAACCTCCCTCCCTCCTAAAGGGAAAATAAAAAAGAAGTCCAAGGATCCCAATTCATCCCAGAGGCCTCCTTCCATCTTCTTGTTCTACTCTGAGTATCACCCAAAAATCAAAAGAAAACATCCCAGCCTGACCATTAATGATGTTGCAAAGAAACTGGGAGAGATGTGGACTTAACGCTGCTGCAGATGACAACAGAGAAAAAATATGGAAAAAAATTTATTACTGCCTATCAAGTTAAAGGAAAACCTGATATAGCAAAAAACAGCATTGTCAAAGCTGGGAAAAATAAGAAAAAGGAAGAGGAGGGAGATGAAGAGTAAAGGAGTTAGAGGAGGAAGATGATTCTAGTGCAATTTTTTTCTTGTCTATAAATCATTGAATTCCCCCTGTATACAACTCACTCCTTTTAAAGAAAAAAAATTAAACTGCAAGTCTGTGTAAGATTTGTTTTTAAAAAGTATTCAGTGTCTTTTGGTATAATTAACACACAAACAAATATGCCTTTAGAGAGCTCTGTCCTTGGGGTATTTTTTTATATATACCTCTATTTTATTTATTTGTCTGTATGTGGTGCTGAGGATCAAACCCAGGGCCCAACACATGCTAGGCAAGCGTTCTACCACTGAGCAACAACCCCAGCCCCTTGTGGTATTTTTCAATAGCTACTCACCCAGCCTAGTAAAGTGTGGGTTGTAGACAGGCATGGAAACTTAAAGCAGGTTCTTGTAGTGCACTAAACAAATTAGTTATACATGCAGAAAGYAGTTTTTCCATCTTCAATTAGGTCTAATGCAGCCAAATAATTATTCTGATAAATGAGTACTGCTCTATAATTGCCAAAAAAAGTTATAGCTGTTTTGTTGACATTCTGAATGCTTCTAAATTCATTTTTAATTAAAAGAAATGTTTTAAAAAATGAACTAAATAAGAGCTTTCTCAGTGGGTGAAGATTATCTGATCAGACACCATCTAAAGGGACCCCACTGCTCCTGTTTCCTGGTGCTATTTGTCCCCAACATCTGTTCTTGCCCTCTTAGGATAGTAATACACTCTCTAATCAGACCTGGGCTCAAGGCTATCCACAATAAAGACCTCATTTTCCAGCCCCATTTGTAGCCAAGGAGGCCACATGACTAAGCTCTGGCTAGTCTGTTCTATAGCAGCTGCCAGGAACTGTGAGACATTAAATGTTTATCTTAAGCTGCTGAATTTGTGGATGTTTTGTTATATAGCATTAGATAACTAAAATGTTCATTCATGTACATGAATCTGCACAATGTTTTTCATATGACATTACTTAATAGTTAAGATAAGGGGCTGGGGATGTGGCTCAAGCGGTAGCGCGCTCGCCTGGCATGCGTGCGGCCCRGGTTCGATCCTCAGCACCACATACCAAYAAAGATGTTGTGTCYGCCGAGAACTAAAAAATAAATATTAAAAACAATTTCTCTCTCTCTCTCTCCTCTCTCTCTYTCTCTTTAAAAAAATAGTTAAGTTAATCTTAAGATTAACCAACATTAGCTGGGTGCAGTGGCATATACCTGTA